TACTGAGATTCCATCTCACTCCTGAAAGAATGGCTGTTATCAAGAAATCAATAAGAAATGCTGGTAGGGCTGTGGTGATAAAGGAACCCTTCTCCACTGTTGGTGGGAGTACAGACTGGTGCTAGCACTGAGAAAATCTGTATGGAAGTTCCTCAAAAAACTGAAATTAGAGGTCCTCATTTAACCCAGCCATTCCCCTTCTTGGTATCATACTGAAAGAATTAAAAGCATTGTACCACAGCAATGTATGCACACCTGCACACCTATGTTATAGTGGCACAGTTTGTAATAGCTAAATCTTAGAAAGAGCCCACATGCCCATCAACTGAAGAGGGGATAAAGAAGATGTGGTTTTTATATATAGTACAGTACTACTCTGCCATAAAGGATAAGCTTGAGCCATTTCCAGGTAAATGGATGCACCACGAGGTTATCCTCTTATGCAAAATAAATCAGACACACATGTAATACTGCATGGTTTCTTTGGTGTGAGAAACTGAAAGTATAATTAAGAAACAAAATGTATAAGAGATACTGTGAAATAGGAAGAAAATGTTCAAATGGGAAGGGGAATTAGGAAGGTGGGAGGTGGAAAGGAAGGAAGGAAAAAGAAAAAAGAATCATGAGAAAAGAAGGAAAATATTGAAACAAAGCTTTTGTAAATAAGGAGGAGAAGAGGGGTTGAAAGGAGGGGAGAGGGCTGGGGAAAAAAAGAATCAAGTTATAAGCTCCCTATAACGAGGTATAAGCTCCCTATATCAAGGTATAAGCTCCCTATAACGAATGTCATCATTATGTATTCCTAAAATATACCAATGAACTTAATTAATTTTTTAAAAGGTCAGATTTTGGAGAATTTGGAAATGTTCGGTTGATATGTTAAAACAGGGCACTTTTACAGAGTAGTTTCTAAGATACTTTTAAAAAATCACATCTGCATATTCACTTGCAACGCACTTCTTGTAACTGAGGAGACTTACCAAATGCCTAAGACTGTCCCGTTCCTGGGTCACACTCTCTGCCAGGCCAATGAGGTTTGCCAGGTACTGGTGAGCAGACCATTCCTTCCCCATGGCTTTTTCGACATGCTTTTTGAGGACATCAATTTTCTTTTGATATCTCCTGGAGAACCCCCCAAACAGTGGCATAAAAAAACTGATTAGCCTGCATGGCAAGGTTACAATGAGTATCTGCATTATAAGAGCAAGCATACTGACATGCAGATGCTATTCTTGGGTCTGAGGCTGTATCTCAAAGGCAAAGCATTTGCCTAGCAATGCTTCAAGCCCTAGGTTCAGTCCACCAGCACTGCCTAAAAATTTTTTTAAAATTCTAAAGTGCTATTGTTCAACAATGTAACATTTAAAGGTGAAAACAGGTAAAAGACTTTAATTTGAAACCAAGTATAATTACTTGATTCCAAGTCATGTTAACAGGTTTTGCAAAATGTCTTACAATGAAAAGCTAATTAAATATCATTCTATTAATATTAATACTAATATTAATATTGACCCTGGTTCAGAAAGATACATTTCTTTTTCGGTGTTTTGAAATATGGTCTCAGAGGGGCTGGGGATTTAGCTCAGCAGCACAGTGCCTGCCTGGCAAGCATGAGGTTGTGAGTTCAATTCCCAGTACTGGAAAAAAAAAAACCAAAAAACCAAAAAAACAAACAAACAAAAAAAAAGAGATATGGTCTCAGTATGTAGTTCAAGTTTGTCCTAAATTCACCATGTAGCCCTGAGTGGCTTGTTACTCACAGCAATCCTCCTGACTCAGCTTCCCAACTGCTGGGATTACAGGCATGTACCACCACACCAAGCCTGAAACATATTTTTTAAAAACAGTATCCAGTAATCCCAACATAGACTTTTGGGAAATGGTCAGGAAGAACTTCTAGAACATACAGGGTCTTAGGGAAAGCATATATGATTATCAACCATATGTGAACTACAGACTTGAGAAAAGTTGGTTAACGCTGACCTACTGATATTCTGATACCCACTCACCCTGATCACTCTTTTACCATTGTATAGTCACTATTTGAAAGGGAAGGTAAAGAACACAAAGTGAACTACTCTTCAGTTGTCTTTTTCCTTTGTATTGACACAGAAAACAAGGGAAAAACATGCAAACCTGTTTATCTTCTGCGTCCTTCCGAGTTC